TGAACCAATTATTCAGGTGATTTACATATTAGGGCCAACAGTTCCCTGTTTGAGGACTATACTGTTTTCCAATGCACTCAAGACTAATATATTTAGTCATAATCAATCTCTGGATATGGAATTTGCAGTGGAGATGGTAGTAGGGAGGTAGCGTCTTTTTTATGGCTCAGGTAACAAAATCTCTTACTCAGTTCTTCGGCTTCAAAAGGACTTAGAATAATAAAATGGCTCAAGAAGATAGTGGCGGTGAAGATGAGCAATCTTTCTTCCCTCACTAGCAGTGAAAAGGAAATTAATGAGTGTACATAGCAGTCTGTAACAAACCATGACAACACTGAAATTATAACATGGACATTGTGATGTAATCATATGATAATGTAATAATATGACAATGCCTGATGCAAGGACATAAATCACATCATTTGCATAATCTGTGCCTATTTGTCCTCTTCTCTGTTTCCTCATGGACAGTGGTGGGTTGCCCCCGGTTTGGACCGGTTTGTAAGAACCAGTAGTAAAACCGGTGGGAGGCTCCACCCACTGCCCCGGAGGTCGTCATAGGTAATCTGCGCATGTGCAGAAGCTTGGCCCGTGCGTGAGCGAAGCGAGCATGTGTGCGCGATCCTGTTGCAAACCAGTAGTAAAGGTAAGTAGAACCCACCCCTGCTCATGGATGCTCTTTAAGTGTAAGTATAACAGGATGTGAGTGTAACTTGGAACCAAGTCTAAAATGAGAGTGACTTACTGCAGAAATATCCAGTGATATTATGACACTAAAATTCATTATACACATTTTTACAATGATCCATCTTGGTCACGTTTCTCACTTATCTCTCTCACAATAATCTCTTGCTAATTTTTATCAATAAGCATATGATTACTGAGCTATATTTCTTCAGTGCAAACTTGTGTACAGGTATGGACAACAATATGCTGTGAGAGTAATTGACAAATATAATCATTTTCCTCTGAAAGAAAGTGCAGGGTTAACTATCTCAGCTGGATATCCTTTATGTTCTTAATTAGACATACACTTCTAAAACAGTTTTCATTTTTTATCCAGAGTTGGTTTGTTCATTCTTTCTCCCCCCATCTCTCTGTCTTCTTTCTTTCCCCATTGTGCAACAACTGGAACATATTTGTTTATAAACAATAAGTAATTTCTCCATTTTGGGTTTCTAATGACTACTTCCAACACAGTTCCCTCTCCTAGTAGTGTGATGTCCGAAGCCATCATAATCCTCTTTACAAACTTCACTCACCCACAAGGATAATTACTCATTGCAGGAAAACACATTATTGATTCATGGAAAAAAAAACTGAACAAGGTACTTCCTGTGGTTACAAGAATAAGAAATGTGGGTTTGCAATGCTGACTTATAGTTATGGGTCATGCACCATCACTTAACAGCAGGTGGACTGACAACTCAGCAAAGTTGAGACCATGAAATTAAATTGATTATGATGTTGGCAAGAAGAGATGGATTGTAGAACACGCAATCTCTGCTTACAGCCAGGAACTCCTAGCCTTATTCAAGCTATATCTGTCAAAAGCCTGGATCTTCCAATTTATTTGCTCTTCAACTACATGATTTGAAGATTCATGTGCGGGAGGTTAAAAGAAATATTTGTGATAAAAAGTGTTCTTTGTCGGGATATTAAGTATGCTTTGTCCAGGATGTTGCACATCTCAGCAAGTTACATGTGGTTTTGTGTTTAATTCTTTTCTATTTGTGCAACATAGTAGTAGATATCCACTGTGGCATGATAGTGATATTGGCTTTTTCTTCAAATCAGTCATGGGCTTGATATTTTGAGGTTTTAAAATCCCACGGAAGCCCTGTAAATATTAATTGTAATGGCCTTGTAAATGAGCCTATTTTCTATTTACATAGCTCACCATAGTGACCCTTGTATCTACTAACACTTACTAACTCTGACAAGTACTAACTCATTTGTAAAAAAAAAAAATACTCTTAACAATAAGAGATCCCATTCTTAGCCTTTGGCATCTATGGAATCATTACATTGTCACAGGTAAGGAGAAAAGAAAGGAGATTGTGTAGATTTCCTGCAGACAAATCTGGCTAAATGCACAAATGTTTTGGCACAAGGCTGCTAGTTAGATGCTAGCTAGTAACCCTCGAATGTTGGCTATGGGAATCTCATTTATTTTTGCTGGAATTCATGGTCTAGCAATTCACCTGGCACGTGCAACCAGTTTTAATTATGTTAATTCTTTACCGTTTCAGACTTAATGTGAGAGAGAAGACATGAGAAACAACACTTTACATTACATACAGATTCCCATAAACTGACCTGATTTTCTTTAAATGCGCCCTTATTGCTGGATAACTAGGAATCACTATATCTAATGACAACAAATCCTCTAGTTTAATTATAAAGCTCAGTGAAATATGCAATTCCTTGGTTTGTCCTGAGTCACCTATTCTTGTACTGTTATCTTGTTCTCTACCCCAGGCTAATTTTATACATTTCTAGCATGTCTCTTCTTTCTCATCTTTTATTTACATTGTAAACCTCTAAAAGTTGTAACTTTATTCAACTTGTTCTACCCCTTCTCCACTCATTTTTATGTCCTTTTCGATACTCTTCCTGATTGATAATATCCCTTTTGAAGTGTAGAATCCAGCATTATGCACTGTATATTAAGGATGGCTGCATTCATATGAATAGACATTTTATTATTGATATATTTTCTTAAAAACCCTGAAACAGACTGACTTTGTAACAACTGCCTTTCAGTGGATTGATACTTTCATTGCACTGTTTGCCATAATTCCAAGATTGGTTTCTTGGTTACTCAGGGTCAAAATTGGCATATTGGCATATGGTGCTTCAGAGTACATCACCTTACAGTGTCTTTTTCATTCTAACTCAGGGGTGTCAAACTCAAGGTCCAGGGCCCAGATTCCTTCCACGGGGTGCTTAGATCTGGCCTGCAGGGCCACCCTGGAAACAGCGAAGGACCGGCTGGCGGTGCCTCTGCCAGTAAAAACAGAGCTTTGGAGGGCTGCATGCGGCCCTCCTGAGGTCCATTTTCACTGGCAGATGATTGCAGGAGGCCACTGCAGCCAAAAACAGAGCTCGTGAGGGCTGCGGGCAGTGCTCCCAAGCTCCGTTTTCGCTGGAAGAGGGTTGCAGGAGGCCGTCGCAGCCGGAAATGGTGCTCAGGAGCCTGTTTTTGCTGGTAGAGCACTCAGGCCACCACAGGCGCCCCTGACGTTGAGCTGGCCACACCCACCCTGGCCACACACCCCAACCCCCTCCAAGGTCAAATACAACTCTGATGTGGCCCTCAATGAAATCGAGTTTGACTTGACTTCTACTGTTCTAACTGATCTACTTTGAAAATATCTCTTTCAATAATGTATATCTCTTACGTTATTCTTTTCACCAATACTGTTTAATCGAGTATCATCTGCAAATCTCAGCATTCTCTTTTAACTTGAGCTTTATGAACTGTTAATAACCAGCCATCACTGCAAATCTTAGAGAAACCCTAGTTCTTACTTCCTTCTGGTCATGTGTTCATTGATAATTCATTACTACAGTTTGTTTCTTGTCCCTTAACCTATTATTGACCTATTAGAAGCTCCGTCTTCTTGTCCTATTTCTATTATTGTGGCCCAGGAGGTTTTGGTTAAGGACATTGTCAAATGTCTTTTTTTAACTCAAGTATATAGTTTCTTGTGGAATCTCCTCAGCTGTTTTGTAACTTTGGTCAGAAAGTTACTTTGGCCTCTTTCTTTTTTTTCAGTGTTTGTCTAACAACTGCGGCAATTTCTTGTAATCATCTAAAGTAATAGGAAGCACAGGACTCAGCTAGAAAACCCAAGGGGAATGAGGTTACAGCTGAGAGTCTAAGAGAAAGTATCAGAATGCCCCAAAGCCCTGCTTTTATCAAAGGTAATGCATTCCAGGCCTTTCCCAGTGTGGCAAGCATTCTTTTAACCTAAAACATCTGGAACTAATGCTTACACAACCTCTTATTAGTATCTTCGGCTAAAGCAATTCTAGGACTCCCGCAGACAATTCATTTCGCTGTCAAACCACAAACTTCGGACTAAGACTTGCCTTAGTTTGCTTTCTCATGTTCTTCAGAATAAATACCCCAATTTATTTTCTAAATTTAAAGAGGATGGAGTTTTTGTTTTCTCTTTTTAAAAATAGCTGCAAACGAAAGTTACTGTGTGAAACTCATGTTGAAGACAAACTTAAGCAAGTTTATGGAGGAGCCTTGGTGGCGCAGCAGACCAATGCACCGTTAGGTAACACCAGCTGCCTGCAATTACTCTAAGTTCAAATCTCACCAGGCTCAAGGTTGACTCAGCCTTCCATCCTTTTGAGGTAGGTAAAATGAGGACCCTGTTTGTGGGGGCAATAAGCTGACTTTATATAAAAAAGAACACTGCTTAGGGGGGGCCCGAAAGCCCTACTAAGCAGGTATATACAAAAGAATGAAGGCTATTGCTTAACGCATTGTAAGCCGCCCTGAGTCTCCAGAAAAGGGCAGCATATAAATCGAACCAATAAATAAATAAATAAATAAACCCTGCTCTTTTAAAACACTTGTAAGTTATTTGAAGAAATTGGTATATACAATATGTGTACATATGCATATACTCTTACTCACACAGAGCAATACAGAATAAATATAAAAAGCTCTTCTATCATGACTAGAATTTGTCTATATAAAGAAGCAACTCTTGGATTATAATTTCTACTGACACTGCTGATTACTGTGCATAAATAAGATTTTTATCTAATATATCAAGAGAGCACAAGGTTGGATAAAACCTGTCCTATTGGTTAGTCAAGAGAATAGCTGGAAGAAAGGAGTCATATGCATGAATAGGCAACTGCTAGCGGACAAGATGCATGTCTGAGTTCTGCACCAAATAAATCTGCACCCTGAAATAGTGCTCCATGTTCACCATTTACTGCAAGTGTATTTCATTTACTTTTCTAGGGGGAAAACTTTTGGCTCTTTCAGCGAACAATGGCAGCCTTTTTAACTCCTTTTATCAAAATCTAGCTTGTTTCTTTTCCTGATCACTTGAGCATAATGAAGATGGAACCTGGTAAGAATTTCCAAACAGATAATATTTATACTTAACCAGGATGTGTCCTACTACAATACAGCAATAGCACTTAGACTTATATATCACTCCTAGGGCTTTACAACAGCAGTCCCCAATCTTTCCAGCTTTACTGACTGGCAGCACTGATGGTGGAGGCAGGAGGAGAGGGGATAGTTCTGCATGAGCAGTGGCCGATCACAGGCACATGTGTGCAGCTCCAATTGTGCAAGCAGTGGCTGTGCACGCATGCCGCTTGCACAAATGGAGCTTTGGAATGTACACACTTGCCCGCCTCTTGTGCAAGTGGAGTTGCACATGAGTATACACTCACCCACTGCTTCTGCGGCCCAATTTTGAATGGGCTGCAGCCCAGTAACGGCCATGGGTTGGGGACTCCTGCTTTACAGCACTCCCTGGGTGGTTTACAAAGTCAGCATGTTGCCTGCAATAATCTGGATTCTCATTTTACTGATCTTGGAAGGCTGGGAGGCTGAATCAGTCTTGAGGATCTATCAGGATCGAACTCCAGACTGGGCAGAGTTAGCCTGCAATACTACATTCTAATCACTGCACCACCAGGTCTGCTATCCTATGTAATATCGGCTGAATTGGATCATGGTGGAGTGACAATGCATCATCTTTTCCAGTGCAATAGTATTTACTACTACTCTTTTAGGGACTAATGTGTGGGCATACTTAGACATGCACAGCCAGGATGTGCAGCTTTTCTTAACCCAGCACGCTTTGGACCAGGGGTGAAATGCTACCGGTTCGCACCGGTTCAGGCAAACCGGTAGTGGCTGCGGCATGTGGTTTGGCGAATTGGTAGCGGCGGCAGCGCGAAGCTCCACCCGCCCGCCTGGACATCATTACTTCCTGGTTTTAACCAGGAAGTAACCTGCTTTTGACCCTCTGTGCATGCACAGAAGGCTTTGTGCATGCACAGAGGGTCTAAAATCGCATATGATGCATGCACGCGGGTGGACCATGCACTTCCGAACTGGTAGGGAAGGTAAGTAGATTTCACCCCTGCTTTGGAGCATGGATTACAGTTTTAATATTCCTCAACCAGCATGGCCAATGCTGACTAGTGGTTGTGGAAATGATGGTTTAATACACCCGAAGGGCTTCTGGTTTTTAAAGATTAGAATGATTGTTATATTCTATCACTCAAGAACAACCAGCCTAATTACTGTTACGTCCTGCATTCTGCTTGCTTGCTATTCACTAGGGTTGGGGCTGAAAGGAACAGTCTGTGCAGTTTAAATCTGGCCAGAAAAAAGGGAAAAGCGTTGAGTAGATCAGGGATATTTCCCAGAAGGATTCCTGTAGGCAAAACCAACTTTTTAGGATGCTGGGTTCTATAGGCCCATTTACTTTCCAGTGGTTCATATTTCAGTATAGTACATAACTAATATATTTGTAAATAAGGGCATTGCATCAAGAACAAATAACCACAAAAACTGATTCTCAATTTTGTTTATTCCCTTTTTCTGCAACTAAAATATAAGATAGAACATGTACGCAATCTTTTTTTTAATGTTCCTTCCCTTCTGGATCCCATGCAGAGGTGGGTTTCAGCAGGTTCTGACCAGTTCTGGAGAACTGGTAGTAAAAATTCTGACTGGCCCTACCCCCATCTATTCTTTGCCTCCCGAGTCCCAGTTGATCTGGAGGAAATGGGGATTTTGCAGTAACCTTCCCCTGGATTGGGGTGGGAATGGAGATTTTACAGTATCCTTCCCCTGGAGTGGGGTGGGAATGGAGATTTTACAGTATCCTTCCTCTGCCATGCCCACCAAGCCACGCCCACAGAACCGGTAGTAAAAAACCCAAAAATTATTGTGGTATATTTGGAATTATCAGATGGGCCAATACTTCCTATTTCAATCATAATAGCTAATCAGTTAAATAAACCCCAAGAGTAATTTCAGTATTAGGAACTTTCACACTTCCTTGCTGGTGAATAAATTTCAGGCAATGCACAAACAAAAAATAATAATTTGTGAATATAAAAACATCATTCGCAAAGATGCAGTGAGAAATGGGGAGGAATTCAAATGACATTCTGCCTCCAGGTAGAGCCATAGGGCAGGTCTATATTTTCTGCTTGCCTTACAATCTGTATGGATCCCACTCTGCTTCTTTAGTGTCGGAATAGGCTCCATCATCTTCTATCCATTCCTAGCCATTACAAATGTACCTCTTCCTGCATTTTGAAGCTCTGCTGCTGTCCTTCCTAAGTCATCTTAAGCCCGTCTTGATGAACAATCTGCCATCCTTTTTTCCAATCTCCTGGCAGCTCCAGTTTTAGTTAGCTATTCATCCCCTCCAGGGCCTGGTCATTGCCCTGTGCACAGCTGCTAAGGCTCCCATATTTTCAGCTGCCCACGCAACTGCAAAGCTTCCTTTTTAAACCAATGCTTGAAATCTTTAGATGGTAACATAGGCACGTTGATATGAAGTTACCACGTTTCAGTAGATACTAGTTTGAAGCTTAATCATCAGTTCTTACTCACACCAAAGTTTCCATGGATTTATACTGAAATCCAGGAACAAAGAAACAACCTTTGCTTTAATCTTTATCATGTTAAAGCAACAAGGGTGCAATAAAAAGTAATAAAAGAGAGAGAAATTGCTTTAATGTCAAAAGAGAAAACTTGGGAAGGGAGTATTTATTTTTATTTATTGTAGTAATTTATTTGCATTCCACCTTTACTATTCTTATAGATAACTCAAGGCAAACATATCCAACACACCTTCTTCCACCTATTTTCCCCAATAACAAGAACCTTGTGAGGTGGGTTGGGCTGAGAAGAAGTGACTGACCCAAAGTCACCCAGTTGGCTAGCATGGCTTAAACAGAATTAGAACTCGTAGATTCCTGCTTTCTAGCCTGCTGCTTTAACCACTACACCGAACTGGCTCTACAAATGTATGAAATATGAAGACAAACGAAAGTGCAAATGCCTGGAAAGCAAAGGGAAAAAATTGAGATTGGTGGGGATGAAATAATCCCTAAAAAGGAAAGGCAGACATTGGAAGATCAAAGAAGAACCAGTCAGCAAAGCTTGAACTTCCCAACATGGATGCAACAGGCAACAGATAGAGAAATGACCAATCAGCAGGGGTGGTATTCAGCCGGTTCTATCTGGTTTGGGCGAACTGGTAGCGGCGGCTGTGGGAGGCTCCGCTCACCTGCCTGGACATCATCACATCCCGTTTTTCACGCTCTGCGCATGTGGATGGCCCTGCGCATGTGAGCAGCGCTCACATTTGTGAACTGGTAGTGAAGGTAAGTGAATACCACCCCTGCCAATCAGGTCCTGTGGTGCCCATAGTTGAGATTGCACATCAACCTGGCCTTGTTGCCAACCAACTGTGATTTGGACTGGAATGTTCAAACATTATTTGAGGAGCAACCGAGAGCATCATAGCAGGCAAGCAGATTAGACTGCCACATAAAACCATCCTTAGAAAGGGTGATTGATAGATGTCCCCCTAGTCATGATAGCAATATTCCAGTATTTGAGAGGTTGCCACAAAGAAGAGGGAATCAACTTACTTTCCAAAGCACCAGAGGGCAGGACAAGTAACAATGGATGGAAACTGATCAAGGAGAGAAGCAACCTGGAATTAAGGAGAAATTTCCTAATAGTGAGGACAATTAACCAGTGGAACAGCTTGCCTTCAGAAGTTGTGGGTGCTTCATCACTGGAGACTTTTAAGAAGAGACTGAACAGTCACTTGTCTGAAATGGTATAAGATCTCCTGCTTGAGCAATAGGCTGGGCTAGAAGGCCTTCAAGGCCCCTTCCAGGTCTTATTCTGATTCTGACTGCAACTTGATTGTGATGATCAAGGAATGAAAGCATGCTGTGATTGGAGAGGAAGGAAAGATGGGGAAATGGGTATCTCAGGAGCTGCAGCAATGGCCTTGTCTCTTTCTGTGCCTTCTCCAACTTTGTGAAAGAATATCTTTCCTGCTTGATGTTTTCCCCCCTGCTTCAGAGGATTGCTCAGCCTAGCCAAACAGTGAGTCCACCTTCTCTCCTGAAGCCTCACATGTTCTTGTTCTTTGAGTATGGTTACAAATTGGCAGGTTGTAGCAATGATGGACAAATGTCTCGGATAATATCTTTATACTATGAACTGTTTATCAATTGCACATTTAAATTATTAACTATATTTCCTTCCTTAAAAATATTAAATGGACATGAAACAAGGAGTCAGGCATATAAACACGGATGCACCTTTCAAAGAAAGAGACAGCTTTATTTCTGTTAGGAATACTTAGAATTTGATCTGCCTATTACATCCCAGCAATAATCAAGCATGGATGTGGAATCACTCTTAGAGGTGCTTGCTTGTATCACCATAGACACCTGCAGGTGAAAATAGAATTAATGGTGTATGTATCATGACATAATTGTGGAAATCAAGCAAATCGTACCATTTACCTGATGGTATCATGATGCATGTGACTTCACTTGTGACTTCTTCCAGTCTTCTGTCATTTCATCTGATGTACAGATAATCCTTGACTAATGGGACCAGAATTTCCATTGCTAAGCAAGATGATTGTGAAGTGTTGTCAACTTCGAACCAAACCTGGTAGCAGCCATCTTTCTGTTCCTCAGTTGTCACACAGAGGGGAAAGAGGGGAAGGACGTTGGAATGCCTTGCTAGACAAAACAGAGAGTTTTCTCAGGAGAACCAAACAACGGATGACAACGGATAAGGTTGGGGAAGGATGCGTAGAGAGCCTGCCAATTAACCCAATTGGCCAACGTGACGTGACTTGGGGATAGGGTTATTTCTTAGTTTAATTATACTGAAACCATGGGAAAGATCTAGAATTGATTTTCCATTGAAGTTATGCTGATATGATGTACTCAATAAAGAAGAGCTTTGAGGAGGATCCAAGTCTCAAGAGTTCTGATTTGCATAGGTTTGTTAGTCAGAGCCTTGACAGTTGTTTTATGATCACCTGTGTTTTTTGCTGTGGTTAAGCAAATTACTGTTAAGTGAATCACACAATCATTAATCAAATCCAATTCCCCCTATTTTCTTATAAAAGAAGAATTATCTTCCCGCCTGATAAGGCAGGAAGATCACAAATAGCATAAATAGCATTCACATGACCCCAGGACACTGCAACTGTTGTAAATACATGCTGGTTGCCAAGAACCCGAAGTTTGATCATGACTCTGGGGAAGCTACGATGGTGGTAACTGCAAGGTCTGGTCATAAATACTTTTTTTTAGTATTGCAGTTGCTAAATGAATGGTTGTAAGTTGAAAACTACCTGTAGCCTCTTCCTGCAAAGCATAAAACAGAACAATTTAAATAGAACAATTTAAAGAGAAAGGTTGGATTGCAAGAAATATACAGTATATAGAAAGATTTATTTTATATTTTAATTAATGAAGAGTAAAAATTTAGTTGAAAAAATAAAAATGTTTAAGCCTTTCCTTACCTAGGAATTTTGATATATGATGGTCCTTACTGTAATAATATGCAATGTTGCTGCCGCAGTGGTTCCTGAATCTTGTTAACATAGCTGGCTGCAAAAATTGATGGAAACATTAGATGGCAGCAAAAAGACACAATATTCTTGTTTTGCTGTTTTGCTGCCATCTAAAGGTTGTTCAGAGTTGTACAGCCCAATTATGGTAGCTCTATAGCTTGTGAATTTTTGTCTCTTATTACTAGTGAGGAAAATATTTTGAGAATGCTGACTGATTAATAGTCAGTCTTTAACTTCCTCCTTCCTGAATATGAGCACCTTCTTCAAAAATCTGCCATCTGATCAATCACTCTAAACTTCATGTGATCCCAGTTTATATTTGTGGTCCCCAAAGAATTCCTAGAATTTCCCCACCGAATTTAATAGGAAAACTACCAGTTTGGGCAGTGTGTAACATTTTTGCTTCTTTGACTGATAACATACTCCCAAGCATCCTCAGAGGCCTATTTTTTAATTCACAGTAATTAAGTGCAACTCTTGCCAGGAGATAATAACAATAGTAGCAATAAAAGCTGTCCAACTTTGGTTTAATTATGTACAAACACAGCATGTAACAACTTGCTCAACCTGGGTTTTTCCAGATGTATTGAACTCTAACCTTCCATAATCCTTAATCAGCCTAGCCAAGGGCCAAGGACATATGTTAATAGTAAAATTTAAAAAAGCGTCAGTTTAAGAAAGTTTGCTCTTTCAGAAGGTGGAGTTGAAGGTTATCGTCTAGTAACCCACATGTATTATTTATTAGCAAAACCTACCTCTTCTCAGAACTGAGATTTGAATGTGAGTCAGAGTACTTCCATAGTTACATTCTGTGCCACCAAATTTACACAAAGCGCTATTGTGTACCAACATTTCGGCTAGATAATGCCTGCTTGAACTTCCTACAGCCAGCCCATGGGGGAGCTCCAGAAACAGAAGGCAACTAGCTTGCAGCAAGAGAAAGAAAAGTGGAGTATTCTTCCATTCAGTGTTGCAAAACCAAAGAAAGGAGCCAACATGAGGTGTAGCCCTTGCCTCCAGCTTTTTAAGGAAAAGCGGGAATCCTAAAGGCAGAAGGAGAAATAAGGGGGGAAAGCTGCTCTCTGCTACAGTTAATGAGAAATGACTCCTAAATGAGACAATCCAGTGTCTATTCTGGATTTAAAGTCCAACTGATTAACTTCTGGAGTTAATCAGCTCAGCACAGCTTTCATTGAATCCTTGAATCCCTATGGGATTGTTCCAACTCTCAATAGGCTGCCAAGCTCAGATTCCAGCAGCTTTTGTAATTGGAACGTTCTATAAAGGGCAGAAAGGAACTGAGAAAGCATGAAATTATCTGCACGAGATTATACTGAGTCCATAACTGAGATTATACTCAGAGTCCATAAGTGTGCAGTCTATCCATATCCGCTATGGAGCCTCAAGGGGTTGGTTGAATAGCAACTTCGGCAGTGGCAGTATACTGGCTACTGAGGAACATGCAATGAAAAATGTGGCTATTGTGATTTAATCCTTCTCATGGGCTTCTCATAGACACTTGCTGGCCACAGTGGTAAAAGAATAGTTGTGGCTAATTGCAAGGTGATTCGCCTTATGTCATTGGTAACTCCAGTGCGCAAAACAAATATTCAAAGAAAATGCTATAGAACCAGTCTTGACTAGATTTAGAATATAGGTAGTCCTCAACGAACTTACGAACACAATTGAGCCCAAAATTTCTGTTGCTAAGAGAGACATTTGTTAAGTGAGTTTTGCCCCATTTTATGACCTTTTTTGTCACAGTTGTTAAGTGAATCACTGCAGTTGTTAAGTTAGGCACACAGTTCTTAAGTGAATCTGGCTTTCCCATTGACTTTGCTTGAGCCACAGTGCCATAGTGATTAGAATGCAGTACTGCAGGCTACTTCTGTTGACTGCCAGCTGCCAGCAGTTCGATTCTGCCCAGCTCAAGGTTGACTCAGCCTTCCATCCTTCCGAGGTGGGTAAAATGAGGACCCAAATTGTTGGGAGCAATATGCTGACTTTGTAAACCGCTTAGAGAGGACTGGAAAGCACTGTGAAGCGGTATAAAAATCTAAGTGCTATGGCTATTGTTAGAAGGTTGCAAAAGGTGATCACAGAACACCAGGATCTCCAACCATCATAAGTATGAATCAGTCACCAAGCGCCCAAATTTAGATCCTCTGACTATAATGATGCTGCAATGGTCATAAGTATGAAAACCATATATCATATGTCATAAGTCACTTTTTTCCACGCCGTTATAACTTCAAATAGTCACTAAATTAATTGTTGTAAATTGAGGATTGCCTGTATATACAATGAAATCTGTTTTCTATGACCATGCAAATCCACCCTTCTTTTTAAAAAAATTTGGATATTATGAAAATATTTTGAATTGTGATATGCATATTGAAGCCAGATTTATTTCAGCATCTTTAAGAGAATGCAAAGGTATCTACTCAGGAGAAGAGGCAGGAACTCCATTATAGAGTAGTCCTAATCGGAGTGTAAGATATGTAACATTTGGACCAATACTCAGTGGCTAGGTGTACGCGTTCCACAATCCTGTTTCATCGGATTGTCATTTATTGAATAAACTGCCATTGGCTGGTTTTCATACCCATGGTAAGCTATAAAACATCGTTTAGAAACTGTGTTGGCAGGCTTCACAGTACAATAAGCCAAAATGAAACAGACTATATTATGACTGTGTACAAAGTATAAACTAGTCACCATAATTACATACTTTTCCATTCCCCAAACAGTGAACAGTGCCAGAAGCAGATGTTCCCTTCAAATGAAAGAAGACTGACCCAGGCTTAGCAGTGTCTGCCACAGTCGATTTATTTTTTTAAAAAAAAGTCATAGAAGCGGACGAAAAGTAGCACATGGACAGCAGGCAGAGAAGAAAAAAAAAATCAGCAACAAGTAATACCAGTGTGAAGTACCAATCTTAAGCAGAATTCAAGGCTACAGGTTCAGAAGAGTGAATGATTTTCATTGCTGAAATGCTGGTACTAGAAACAGAACGGTTATCTTGTGGATTAAGTCTAGTAGTCACAGGAACATTTTGGAAGCTTTCCCATAATTTCCAGTCTTGCTGCTCGTCATAACAAATCCAGGAATGGTTTATTTCATCTGAAAATGAAGTTAGCAATGTTCCCAGTCTGATTAGTCCTGACGGGCCAGTGCATTCCCTTGTTCTGACCAGCTTTTTAATGTGGCTATAAAGATGATCTGTCACAAACGGGTCTCGGTGGCCTTACCTCCTCCACTTCCCAACAGGCAAGCTGATCATCCAGTATCAGAACCTGACTCACCAGGAAAATATTCCCGGAATGAAGAAGTCCAGCTTGGTTTCTGAATGACAGTCAGACACTGGTAAAACCCAGACTGTAGTCTCTCCAAAATAAATCCAGAGAGATTGAAGGGGTCCGAGTTACTTTAAAAAAAAAAGAAAAAAAAAGGTCACAGATCTGAGGGCAACTGGACTCCCTTCTCTCTCTCAAATTTCTGTTCTAAAAGGTGAGCCAAATAGGGATGAGGAGAGAAAAGATTCAAAGAAGAAAACACAATAGGAAAAAAGGGGAAGAGATCTTTTTTTAATCCACAGATGTGAAGTCCATATATAAGAAAAAAAAAGAAGAAACAAAGCACCTCCCATTTGTTTGAAAATAAGTCAGGTGTGTGCACGTAAATCAGCCTTCCTCACCAGGTTGATTTATGATAGCACTGCCCAAATTCTTTTGCCCGTGATGATAGCTAGGAACTCTGGGAGTTGTAGTACCAACTGTTAGGAATGTTACTCCATCAAGTGGAGCAACGTCTTCAAAATGTAAATTCTGATTTGAATCACCTTAGCTCCCTGGAATTTCATGAACATTTTCCTTATAATTTTTTTGGGGGGGGTGGAAATAGAATGGGTTGGTATCTATTGGGCGTCTGCCATTGAGATATTAACCTCACCTGCTAAGCTTGTAAGTTCAATTAAGAACAATTCAGTTATTTCCTTACCATTTATTATTTCTCTTTCTCTTTTAAGCGAAAAGAAAAACAAAGATCTGTTCTAATTAGGTTTCCTCAGACACAAATTACATTGCACAAAACCGTAGGATGAAAACTATTTAGAAACAAAGCAAGAAAATATAAACAGAATCAACAGTGTCTAAACAGTATTCAAAGTAATTAATGCAACCAGGAAGCAGATTGCAATAGGCTTCAAGAGCAGATTTAAAGAGAAGGCTGACTTTACAGCCCTTAAAGAGACATTGCCATGATTTGCCTTGCATTCTACAGATGAATAAAACACAAATCCTAATGAATAAAACATAGTGAACATAATGATTTAGTTCCTACTGTTTATTATTAGAACCTGTCCCATAAAACCTCAGATTTTACATTTTCTGTAGGCTCTTTTATTTTTTGAGCTATACTAAACTCCAGCATAAATATTATTCAGTCAATACTTACCATATAGTCTGTGTCTTGTGAGAGAACTTTTTGATGTGAAAGAACCAACAGATTAAAGGTAACCAGTGAGAATTTGGCAATAATTGTCTATGCCAGGCTGTCAAGTGTATGCCAAACTTGGTCTTTGGGATGAAAACTATATAAAATCCCTGTGATTTGTAGTAATTAACTATCCTAGAACTATATATTTTCACAATCTCCTTGGGATGATAGGAATGTTTGATACACCCAATTGATTTGAATTTAGTATGGATGTTTAAGCCATGGAAAATCTGTGAACATGTATACTTTTTGTCTAATATTGTATGTGACTCAGTCAGGGAGAAATAGGAAATCTAGAAACAGGAATATAGCAAGCACTGGAAATTAGGGGGGTAGGAATGGTACAATATCCTTCCCCTGCCATGTCCACCAAGCCACGCCCACCAAGATATGCCACGCCCACCAAGCCGCACCCACAGAACTGGTAGTAAAAAATTTTGAAACCCACCACTGGGAAGGATACTGTAAAATCTCCATTCCCTCCCCAATCCAGGGGAAGGTTACTGCAAAATCCCCATTTCCTCCCAATCAGCTGGGACTTGGGACGCAGAGAATAGATGGGGGAAGGGCCAGTCAGAATTTTACTACCGGTTCTCCGAACTACTCAAAATTTCTGCTACCGATTCTCCAGAACTGGTCAGAACCTGCTGAAACTCACCTCTGCCTTGGGGGATTTTTCTAGCACACTATGCTGCTAAGGAAAAGGAAACCACCGCTAGCAAAATTCCTATGTCGCAACTCCAGATAGATCCCCCTATACTACCACCACCCCTCCTCTTCTCCCTGGCCCAGACTCACAGCTTTCCACATTCTCGTTTCCTGCTCATGTCTCTTTTGTCCACATGCCCATTTCTAAGACATCCTCCTGGGATCTTCTTGTAATCCATTTCATATTTCCCCCATCATCATGTAAGTTCCCCACCCAGGAAGCCAGAACTGGAATCTGTTTAACTGATACACATGCATCCAAGAACTCTGATTAATAGTATTTCTTAGAAGGTTAGAACTAAAAACCTTTGACAGGCAAATTCCCTTCAGATTCCTTTGAGGAGGAGGATCCATTTCTATTGCTTTTTGGGGTTAATAACAGCTGAGCCTGTCAGTGGGTTGAAAATGCATTCATGAGTTATTTTCCACTTTATAGCAAAGCCACAAGAGAGACCTACATCACAGTGCTGAGGTTGATTGTCTGAAGTTATTATTTTGCTTTGCCTAAACGTTCTGTAGGACCAAACTTGTCTCATTGTCCTAATCTTTGGTTTCCTGTCCTTTAAGCTGCCACCTTTGCCAGGACATTTTCTCGGTTTTCAGACTTCTCTAAGTGAGAACAAAAACATTTTCTTCCCATACCAAGAGTATCTTTCAAGCTATAGAAAAATCTCTGTTTTATGATCCATTGCAGAAATGGGTATCTGGTAAAGCTGAAAATCCATTAATTCCAAATGTATAATTTATGCCTTAGTACCCATTGGCCGGACATTATAAAGGATGACACGGAGCTGGCCATGGCGGATCTGAAAGAGGATGTGTGAGACCAAGGGGCATGGAGAGGGCTGATCCATAGAGTGCCGAAGGCTGACAATGTCAATCCATGCAACTCAGATAAGATGTATGATTTTGTCTATTCCATCTGAAGTCCATTGAATGAAGTTCCACAGAGTAGAGATTTTACTTTAATTCCATGCTCATCTGCACATAATACTCTATGTACAGATAGTCCTCGACTTAACAACCGTCCATTTAACAACGGTTCAAAGTCGCAATGGACTCGTGGAAAAGTGACATGACCTGTATTCGCACTTATGACTGTTGCACCAACCTTACAGTCAAATGATTGCTATTGGAGTGGTTGACATCTGGTTTGCATTTATGACTGCTTACAGCATTCTGTGGTAATGTGGGAGGCACCGTATTGTGGTGGTTCTCCTCCTTTCTCTCCAACCGGTCGCAGTTTGTGTTGGCAGGGGGGCAGAGGTCGACCTCGAGGCCTCTTGTCTGTGGAGTGCCGCAGGGATCGGTCCTCTCGCCCCTTCTGTTCAACATTTATGTGAAGCCGCTGGGCGATCATCAGTGGCTTCGGGGTGAGATACCATCAGTACGCTGATGACACCCAGCTGTACATCTCCACCCCAGGCCACCCCAACGATGCCCTTGAAGTGATGCCTCAGTGCCTGGAGGCTGTGCGGATCTGGATGGGGAGGAACAGGCTCAAGCTCAACCCTTCCAAGACTGAGTGGCTGTGGCTCCCGGCATCCCGATATAGTCAGTTGACTCCATCACTGACTATTGGGGGCGAGTCCTTGGCCCCCACAGAAAGGGCTCGCAATCTGGGAGTCTTCCTGGATATGCAGCTGTCCTTGGAGGAACATCTGATGGCTGTAACCAGGGGGATCTTTTATCAGGTTCGCCTGATTCGCCAGTTGCGGCCCTTTCTTGATCGGGATTCCCTGTGCACAGTCACTCACACCCTCGTCACCTCTCGCCTTGACTACTGCAATGCACTCTACATGGGGCTCCCCTTGAGGGGCACCCGGAGGCTCCAGCTGGTCCAGAACGCAGCAGCGCGGGTAGTGATGGGAGCAGCATGGCGCTCCCATGTAACACCGCTCCTGCACAAGCTGCACTGGCTCCCGGTGGTCTTCCGGGTGCGCTTCAAGGTGTTGGTTATCACCTTTAAAGCGCTCCATGGCATAGGGCCTAGCTATCTTCGAGACCGCCTGCTGCTACCGACGACCTCCCACCGACCTGTGCACTCCCACAGAGAGGGCCTCCTCGGGTTGCCATCAGCCAAACAATGTAGGCTGGTGACCCCCAGGGGGAGAGCCTTCTCTGTGGGGGCACCTACCCTCTGGAATCAGCTGCCCCCAGAGATAAGGAGAATCCAAGACCTCAGTGCCTTCCGCCGTGCCCTTAAAACCCACTTTTTCCAGCAAGCCGGGCTGGCTTAGGAAGAAATTTTTTAAATTTTTTAAATGTTTAATTGGTTTGTGGTTTTTTAAATTTTTGGGCCAAATTTATATAGATTTTAATTGTTTTTAATATTTGTATTTCATGTTTTTAATTCTGGCTGTGCACCACCCTGAGTCCTCAGGGAGAAGGGCGGTATATAAATTGAAAAAAAAATGTGATCTCGATTTGCACCTTTTTTTGCCAATTTCTGGCAAAAAATGCTCACTGGGAAGCTGGATTTGCTTAACATTTGTGTGATTTGCTTAATGATGACTGCAAAATTGTTGCAAAATCAGGTCCAACTTGACTTACAACTGCAACAACTTGTGACAGAAATTCCCATCTCAATTGTGATTAAGTCAAGCACTATCTATATCAGGGGTGTCAAACTCAAGGCCCGTGGGCTGAATCTGGCCCATGGGATGGTTACATCTGGCCTGCGGGCCCCTGGAAACAGTGGACTGGCCTGCGGTGCCTCTACCAGTGAAAACAGAGCTTGGGAGGAGCGTGCACAGCCCTCCTGGGCTCTATTTTCAGCCGCGATGGCCTCCTGCAACCCTCTGCCAGTAAAAACGGAGTTTGGGGAGGCCGTGTGCTGCCCACCCAGGCTCCATTTTTGGCTGCAACGGCCTCCTGGAGCCCTCTGCCAGCAAAAACAGAGTCTCGATGAGTGACATTGAGCTGGCGATGCCCACCCTGGTCATGGTCCCCCGTGCCCCTGAGGTCAAACACAACCCTGATGCGACCCTCCATGAAATTGAGTTTGACATCCCTGATCTATATCAAACTAATCGGTGTGAAGGATTTCAGCGTCTCAATTGCAACATACCCATTTCTGCCATATTTGAATAAGAAGCAATAAACTCAGCAAGGCACAAACAGTGAAAGTTGTAGATGAGGCTGGGTGAGAGAGCATTTTGCATTATGAGACAAAATAAGACTGATTTGTGTGATTCATTGTCTGCAATGAAATAACAAAAAGGCAGTCTCCATTAAAAAAAAAATCTTGTCAGATATGTGTTCAGTAGTTAGTGAGACAGTGGTACACCGGACACTACAATCAAATCCAGAAAAATATGCTAGGACAGATGTACAGGTAGTCCTTGACTTACAAGCACAATTGAGCCCAAAATTTCTGTTGCTAAGTGAGAAAGTTGTTAATTTTTCCCCATTTTACGACCTTTCTTGCCACAGTTGTTAAGGGAATCATTGTAGTTGTTAAATTTGTAACACCCGTTGTTAAATGAATCTGGCTTCCCCATTGCCTTTGCTTGTCAGAAGGTGGTCACATGACCTCTGGACATTGCAACCGTCGTAAGTATGAGCCAATTGCCAAGCATCTGTATTTTGATTGTGTGATCAGGGAGATGCTGCAATGGTTGTAAGAGTGAAAAATGATCGTAAGTCCCTTTTTAAAGTGTCATTTTAACTTCAAATGGTCACTAAATGAACTGTTGTAAGTCGAGGACTACCTGTACATTGATTTATTTTCAGCACCCATTTTCCACTTATCTCAGAAGAATCCTTCATTGATTCTTCTGCAATGAACACGTCTTTCAATATGTAGAATAGTCACAAGTGCAATTTTCAGTTGCAACAACAGGAGTAAAGTTTCTCAATCACAGGAAGTAATATCTTCATTTAATTTTCCATTGGTCAGGCTTCATGACAAAGACAGAACAACCAGCTAATAGGAGATCCCGTTACAAGTTTAATGAATAATCAGTTTTCATCCTTCTTGCAAACACCCTAGAGGAATAAACTACAAAGAGAGCTTGGATTAATAAACACATTACTAGAGGATTCTTATCTCAGTTCTCAAGAGTCTGATTCCAACCTCTAATTCAGGACACTTAAAACTAGTTTGAGAAAATCCAGTG